AGAGCTTTTAACAAGTTTCTGAAATGTAAGAAGCAATTGGAAACTTGATGCAGATAAACAGAGCAGGGGAAGTGAGAATAAGTAGCTGAGACATTTGCAGCAAGGAAGAGAACCTATCTAGAGTAAAACCCCAAAGAAGCTGTGGGTGTAGAGATGACAGAGACAGAAAACGAAGATGAAACGAGTGCCCGGAAATAGGGGTGTTAATTAAAAGCATGTCTGTGAAACAGTTATGCTGGTTGGCTCTCAACATCCCCCCGCCACCCCCATGCTCAGCATTTGCACCTAGAGAGCAAGTAGGTGAGTGAAGAATTAGTAGGCTAGGATCCAGGGACGGACAGAAGACTAGTAGGGGAAGCCCAAAATTTGGGGCTCTTTCCCCTGAGGACATTTGAAAATTCTAGAATGTGTAACTGAGAGATTGAGTTATACTTTGTATTGCCTTGGGTGACCAGAAGACAGGGATTGTAGCCTGGAGCCCTGTAAGGGGCCGGGTGAACTTTTCACCTTGAGCTGGGACCAAAAAAGGATTGCACCCCAGAAGTTAAGAATGAGCCAGAAAGAAACACCCTTGCAGGCCCTGCCACTCAGCCCCAAATCATCTCATTTGCTGAACTTGAACTGAAGTGAACCCAGATTGCTAGTGCCCTCCACCAGGTGCACAGCAGAAGTGAATTTAAATTCTGGATATCAAACTATTTCTAGATAGCAAGCAGTTTTGCAAGTGCAAAGTCCCACACACCATCACAAATAACTAGTCACACAGAAGAGTAGACAGCATGCATATGACCCAGCACAAACAACAGAGAAAAGAAACGGATCCACAGGGGATGTTAATGTTATTGGATCCAAACTTTTAAATAGCTATGATGTTGTGTTCAGGATGGTAAAAGACAAGATGAAAAATTTTAGAAAAATAAAGACATAAAAAAAAGCTTAATCGAAACTCTAGAACTGTAAGATATAGAAATTGAATTATGAAGTTAATGGATGGTTTAATGGCATATTAGATATAACTACAGAGAGATTTATCAATCTGAAAGGTGAGTCAGGAAAAAAAATTCAGAATGAATCCTGGAGAGACAAAATGGTAAAAAAAAAAAAATTCAGGAGGCATGATGTATTCATTTTCTCTTGCTGCGTAACAAGTTACCACAGATTTGGTGTTTTAAAGCAACACACATGCACAATTTCATACTTCTCGTAGGCCAGAAACCTGCATGGGCTTGCCTGGGTTCTTGCCCAGCATCCCATGAGGCTGAAATCAAGATGTTGGCTGGGCTGCACTCTTATCTGGAGGCTCTAGGAAAGAATGTGCTTCTGAGCACATTCACAGGACCCAGTGGCTTCCAGCTGTAGGTCTGAGGTCCCCTTCCCTTGCTGTCAGTCAAAGGCCACTGTGCTCCGAGAGGCTCCTGCATTCCTTCTCATGTGCCCCCCCACCTCCCACCTTCAAGGCAGCCGTGGCAAGTCTAATCTTTCTCAGGGTAAAAATCGCTCAGTCTTTCCCCTCTTCCCAGCAGCCAGAACAAACTCTGCTTCTAAAGGGCTGTTGTGGTGCACCTGGCTTAGAGAGTTAAGCGTCTGACTTCAGCTCAGGTCATGATCTCGTGGTTTGTGAGTTTGAGCCCCGCGTCCGGCTCTGCACTGACAGCTTGGAGCCTGGAGCCTCCTTCGCATTCTGTGTCTCCCTCTGTCTCTGTCCCTCCTCTGCTCATGCTGTGTCTCTGTCTCTCTCAAGAATAAATAGACATTTAAAAATAATAAAGGGCTGTTGTGATTGTATTAGCTCCCATCTCTTGTTTGTTAATGAATATGCTTAGCCCTATTTATAGAATACAAGGTCAGTATACATAAAAACCAAATGCCTAAAAATTGGCTTTGAAAATGGCTTGGCATTCCCACTCTTAGCTAACTACTTGTCAGAAATGCGTGCATAAGGGACCTAGATAATATTTATGACTGTGTTTCTTACAATTGCTAGCAAACAGAAAACAACCAAATTATCCAGCAACATGGCATGTAGTCATGCAAAGGAATGACACAGAATGACACAGAATGAATTATAGCTACATACAACAACAGGTGTCTCCCAAATGTAATATTGAGTGAAAGAAGTCAGACAGAAGCAGTTCTAAAAACCAGGCAAAACTAAGCCACGAGAGGTTGGGGCCATGGGGAGGGGGGAGCTTGAATATGCACGTTTAGCCAGTAAAAGCAAGGAGGTGATGATCATAAAAGTCAGAAGTAGTTATCTTTGGGGACAGGAGGGATAGTGATTAGTAAGGGGAGGCTTTGGGGATACTGACAAAACATGACTCTTTGTGATAAAGCATTGAACTGAGGAACAGGAAGAGAAGGAAAGGGATGAATATCAGACAGGCATAGTCTCACCAATACTCAATGTTGGAAATCTGTGGAGTTTCAAGAGAAAATTTGTTTTGAGACAGAAGACAAACTATCAGTCAAGAATGAGGACAGAATAAGATCATTTATCTTCTGTGGACTCTTTTGAGGCAATTCCTTGAGGATGTGTTCCACCAAGAAAGAGAATGCAGGAACGTGTATGCCCAGAAGCATGGAGGCCAGGGAAGAGAAGCCCCAGGACGGTGGCTGCACAGCAGGCCTTGAAAGAAACTCCAGGAAAACATATCTTCAAAAAGAATGGACTAGACTCTAAGCAATAGTTCATGTGAGTGAGAAGGTGGGAAGCGCTGGGGATAGACTTTAGAAAGGGGTATTTTTCTTCTCTTAAAAAGAAAAAATGCTAGGGCACCTGAGTGGCTCAGTCAGTTAAGCATCCAACTTGGGCTCAGGTCATGATCTCACAGTTTGTAGGTTCGAGCCCCACATCAGCTGTCCGTGTTGACAGCTCAGAGCCTGGAGCCTGCTTCAGATTCTGTGTCTCCCTCTCTCTCTGCCCCTCCCCTGCTCTCTCTCTTTTTCTCTCTCTCTGAAAAATAAATATTTAAAAAAAGAAAAAATGCTTATTAGAAACTTATGGTGGAACAGCTAGGTAAAGTCGTGGTCTAAAGTGTCAAACAGCTTTAAAAGGACAGGATATTTGAACAATTGATGGGATATAAGAAAAGAAAATCCATCTGACTTTGATGCCAGAAACAGTCTCATTCCCTTGTGAGTGACAAGAAGGGTCATGTGACCCTTAGAAAACGAACTGTAATCCAAGCTCTGCAATTAGCAATGTTTGCATGTGCATGCATACTCTCTGCGTCTTGGTTTTCAACTTTTAGACACATCCGAAAAAAACACAGAAGACATAGTTGTAGGGACGGAATAGATATGTTCTCTAGCTTGACCATTTGAGACAGAAGTTTGGAGGAAGGGAAAGAGAGTAGATCCCTGGAGGCAAAAGGGGTGGAATGTGATGGTCTCATCTTACATACTGGTAGTCCAGAAGTTCCCTTGAAGGTTGATGGATCAAGAAATTGAGGCACGTTGTTTAAAGTCACAAAGGTAACCAAGGGAAAAGTTCAACATGACATGAGAGCAAAAAGCTGGGAGAGTTGGGGCTTTCAAGTAAGAGGCTAAATCTTCAGCTTGGGGGAGTAGACAGACAATATCTGAAGTTGATACATGAGGAAATAGTGATAAAAAGATATTCATCTGGAGTTGAGAAGTGACCGTAAGAATTAAAACCAGGAAAAATTGAAGGCAGTTGCTCCTGCAGTTGGAACTACTAGTGGGGAAAGTAGGTGTCTGCTCAGAGGCTCAGAATTCTTCCATTTGGTTCATTTGGGACAAAAACTTTTGAGGTCAAGAAAGGTGTATCTGTCTTCAAGTTCTTAAGACTGAAAAATATATGTAGTTACAAATGCACATGTATGTATGTTAATTACCTATTGCACAGTAGATTTATCTTCAACATTTTATAATTCATATGAGTGGTGCATTTACATATGGGCATGTGGGTTTACATATGTGCATACATGTCCACATACTGTGAACTGAATTAAAGAGAAACAATTACAAAGCCACGTGAAGTTTCTAATCATTAACATGTGCTACCATGAACAGCCTTCAATTTAAAGCTGATTCAATTAAGTTAAGGCTTTTGGCAAAAAAAAACATTAATAGGAGTGTATAAGTGGAAATGATGTTACAAACTGAATAGAATAAATAGAAACAAAATTTAAACAGTGCTTCAGTTCTGAGGTGGTCTTTGGCAGCTTTTAACCTCTAACGAGTAGCCAAAAAGTAATAATAACACCAGTAGTGCTATTAGCACTAATTTGTACAAAATGTGCAATCAGGCTACTCAACTCTCCCTATCTATTTTCTGGAGGAAAAGGAACTATAAATTTCAACTGGGAACTTGAGATGCCAGAAACAAGCCTCTGCAGGATTTTATTCTTACTATAATAGTACAAGGAGTTATTTCTAGTAGAATTTTATATATAGTAATTGCTTACGTTAGCGGTTTTGTGTCTTGGGGATTTAACCATGAGCTGAGATCTTGGCTTCTGTTTTCTCTTTAGATTCTTTTGTCTGGGAAAAACACAATCAAAACTTACATTTATTATATTCTTCTCATGAGCTCAACCATTTCTTCCACTGTGATACTCCAGAATATACTTCTATTTTATTCTGTGATAACCAGTGACCTCCCTCCCCGCAACTTATTGGCATATTTAAACTGAAGAGTTCATTTCTTAACTGGTCTTACATGCTATGTATTGAATTACTTGGTTCTGAGTATAATGATCTCAGCTAATATGATGAGAAGGCAGTGTGCAAAGAACCGTTGAATCCCATCCTAACCATAGCTGCCCTGTCTGTATCTCTGCAGAGCGACTGGTCCGTCCCACACTAACAGCCAGTTTACTTTGCTCTTGACGTGTAGAAGTACCTTGAGTGGAAACAAACAGAAAGAGATTTCCTTATTCGTTACTTATTTAAAAAGATAATGCCTTGAATGTATGTTCTACATTGCAGTATTTTCCAGAGTCTAATGGGTTCCTTATTATATTTCCTAATTATAGTGCTGCTTTTGATACAGTTCTTGGGATAAATGTTGCAGTCAAGAAACTAAGCCGTCCTTTTCAGAATCAAACCCATGCAAAGAGAGCTTATCGTGAACTCGTCCTCTTAAAATGTGTCAATCATAAAAATGTAAGTTACATATGTTTTCTCTGCATAATGTTGTCCACAATGTGATCATCTTCTGGGTCTTTGGAAATATGTTGAGTTTAGACATAGGGTAAACTAGTAATAACAGTAACTATTTAAATGGTTATATTTTATTGATAAAATTCTTTTTTTATATTTTTAAAATAATTTTTAAAGTTTATTTATTTATTTTGATAGAGAGAGGGCATGAGGAGGGGAGGGGCAGAGGGAGAGAAAGAGAGGATCCCAAGCAGGCTTTGCACTGTCAGCACAGAGCCCCGTGCAGGGCTTGAACCCTTGAGACCATGAGATCATGACCTGAGCCAAAACCAAGAGTTGGATGCTTAACCAACTGAGCCACCCAGGTGCCCCTGTTGATAAAATATTTAATCAACATTGGAGAATTTGCAGTAAACCAGAAGCATCACGGCCCAGTTTCGGTCACTGAAGACAGGTAGCAATATCAATTAACCCTGTAATTGTTTCAGTTTCAGTATTTCTGTTTCTATGCAGTGGCAACAGTATTGACCTAACAAACTGAGAAACAACAACATATTTTTTTAGAAAACCATTGTTCTGGAGCTTTTTACCTTGTCCTAAGGGCATTTCAGGTTTAAATACATGTTAGTAGATGGTGTGATATTCAAGATAGCTATCTACTCAGCATCTCCACAGAAATCAAAGCACTGTAAATTTCAAGGAGAAATTGTATGTTTCCAGAAGATGAGGCATTCAGGCACATTGGATGTCCACCACTGGTCTCTGAGCATTATTGTGAGCATGATTTTGATAACCTTGCCTTGTAATAAGAAATCACTTGTTATGTCTTGACGGGACTTTGGAGATCACCTCTATGTGACCGCTTTTTTTGTTGATGAGTATTTAAGACTACACTGAGTTTCATGCTATTCCCTTTGCTGTAGCATGAATGTAGCATCTTTCTGGTGTAGGGACATTACAGACAAAACTAAGATAAGTTTATTCTTTTGATTTTGTTTTTAATTTCTCCAAGGCATGCTTTATTCTTGTATATATTGAATATAAGTATATATTCCTTATACACTTAGATTTTTTTCAGATTATACAAAAGTGTAGTTATTATTATTATTTTTTTTAATTCAAAGGATATAAACAAAGAGGCAAAAATCCTCAAATCCCACAGATCATTATCATTAACATTTTGGTGAGCGTTCTTATACACGTATGTACATGCATACATGAACACGACCTTCTCTGTTATTGTACATCCTGCTTTTTCCCTCATGGAATGTTTCTGGACCTCAGATATATTAATGAGCATAGATGGAAGCCATTTTTTAAATGGTACAGATGCACAGTATTTATTTAACCAGTCACCTGTTCCTGGATATTTAGATTGTTTCCAGTTTTTGCTGTTATAATCAATGCTACCACAAACATTGTTATACATGCACTTCACACACTTGTCCAGGTAAACTTCTTGGCCAAAGCATATACTGTGCACTTCTGGTTTTAATCTGTGCTGACACATTGACCTCAAGAAAGACTGTCCATTGTACACTTCCGTTAAGAGTGCCTGAGAATGGGGGCGCCTGGGTGGCTCAGTCGGTTGAGCATCTGACTTCAGCTCAGTCATGATCTCATGGTTCTGGAGTTTGAGCCCCACATCAGGCTCGCTGCTGTCAGCTCAGAGCCTGCTTCGGATCTTCTGTCTCCCCCTCTCCCTGGCCCTCCCCATTCCCTCTCAAAAATGAATAAACATCTATATATACATATATAAAATTTTATATCTATACATAAAAGACTGTCTGAGAATGAGTTTTCTTTCAGAACCCCCAGCACTACCTTCAGGCTTGTCGTCAGACTTTACCAATCTAAGAGATGACACATGATATCTTATTCTTACTTGTGAAGTCGAGCTCCTTTCCATATTTCTGTTAGCCATTTATTTTTAAAGAATTTGTTTTCCGTGGCCTTTTCCCATTTTTTCCTTCAGCTGTTGGTGTCTTTCTTATGCATTTAGAGAAGATCCTTGGATATTAAAGCTGCCAACCCTTGCTTCTTTTCCATTTGACCTCAATTAAGTTGTTTTTGCCATACTTTTTTTTTTTAAATCTCGGTTTAGGTTTAACATAATCAAGTTTCGTAGGTTTCCTGTCATGCTTAGAAAAGGCTTTTCTACACTAGAATTACATAAATGTTTATCCATGTTACAATGTTTTATGATTTCATGATTTATGTTTAAATCTGTGTTGCATTTGGAGGTGATGTGAAGAATGAATATGGACCCGGTTTTATTTTTCCCTGGGTTAGCCAGCTGCCCCAGTCCTGTATACTGAATCATTCCTCTTGCCCTTGCTCATTTGAAATGACTGAGGATGTGTGTTTGATGCTCAATCAGTGGGGCTCATCGTTTAACTGTTGGGGTGCCAGGACCAAGGCCTTGTGGTAGAGGCCTTTCTAGAACCCTTTCAGTAAATACATAACACTGTGAAGGGTTAATCTTTGTCATACTAAAATTACAGCTTCATCTTCATATTTCAAAACTTTTTAGATTGTAAATAGTATTTAAGTTTTCAGAGTTAACATTGCCTTGGTGTTTTTCTGGCCACAATTTCTACTCTTATGTTCAGAGCCCGAAAGACATTATATGTTAAAATTCTGTCATAATCAGTCACTAGAGACACATAAAATGTGATTTGATTAAAAGTACATCTTATTTCCAAGATGAGAACCCTAATCATTGAACTTTTCTCAAAGGCCATGTAATAGGATGTTTTGGTAAAGCTAATAACAATAATAAATACTGAGTTTTGCTGTGATTTCTTTTTCAGTTTTAATACATTTTAACGTTAAGCTTGATTTTTGTAATTAAGTGGAGTTATGACATGCTGAGGTAAAATAAATTTTCTCTTTTCAGATAATTAGTTTGTTAAATGTGTTTACACCACAGAAGACTCTAGAAGAATTTCAAGACGTGTAAGTTTAATTTTTACTCAGTAACACACTGTGTATCAGAGACTGAAAACTTAGAAAAGTAAATAACTGCTTGTTTTACTTAGGAAATGTAGGTAGCTGTATATATTATTATTTATTTACTTATGAGAGAGCGAGAGCAAGCAAGCGTGCGTGTGTGAGAAGCGGGGCTTCAGAGAAAGAGGGAGAGAGAGAATCCACAGCAGGCTCTGCGCTGCCAGCATGGAGCCAAATGCCAGTCTCGATCGAGATCGTGATCTGAGCCGAAATCCAGAGCTGGACACTTAACCAACTGAGCCACCCAGGCGCCCCAAGTAGCAATATATTTTTAATGATATCTTAGCCACTTTTTTCTGTGGAAGAGAAATGTTAAGAAAGATAGATAATAATATTCATTATTTGTGCCTAGATATTATCATCCCCATAGCAGGTAAAATATGACTGAAAATAATTCTTCAGAGGCAGTGAGCGTTACTGCTGCCAGTTCACTTTGCTGAAATATAAAATGTTTTTTTCCATTCCCCGAAACCCAAGATTGTAGGGTTTGAGTGTTTATAATTATTATTTGAAGTGATTATGTCATTAAATCTTATGTTTCCACAATCTGAAATAGAATTATCTTACTAACAATAAAATATTAATTTATCATATTGAAATATAATCCCGATTCATCCTAAATTTACTGGTGTATTCATTCAAAAAATATTTGATTGCCATTTGTGTGCTAGGCAGTCTTGGGCCTGGCATATTTTAATGATCCAAAACAGGCAAAAATCCCTTTTATTATTAAAAATTGCAGGTCAGGGGCACCTGGGTGTCTCAATTTCTTAAGCATCTGACTCTTGATTAATCTCCCCTCAGGTCTTGATCAGGGTCATCAGTTCAAGCCCCATATTAGGCTGGTGCTGGTCTTGGAGCCTACTTAAAAAAAAAATTGCAGGTGGTCACAGTCCTTCTTAGAGCTTTTGAGATGGCCAGAGAAGATAAGCAATCAGTGCAAGCAAGGAAATGATGCCATCACAAGGATGTGGCAAGTGCTCTGGAAGAAGTGGGGCTGGGTGTAGGGGATCAGTAGTGCTGGGGGTTAGGAGTCCAGCTGCAGTCATCAGCAGGGTGGTAGGAGAAAGACATCACTCAATTGGTGCCATCTGAAGAAAACCTTGAAGGAGGTGAGGGGTTAGTCCCACAGGTACTTGAGGGAAGATGGTATCAAGATAGAAGGAAGAGGCAAAAGATGTGAAAGTGGTGCCATTCCTGGTGTGCTCTGAGCTGCAAGTGGCCAGTGTGGCTGGAGTTGGGGAGCATAGGAGAAAAGTCGGGGTCACTCAGAGAAGTGATAGGGCCAGACACTGATGGGCCTCTAGGCCATTGTAAGGACTTCCTTCTACTCTAAGACAAAGCAGTAAGACTCAGCAGAGGCGTGAGCTTCCCTGACTTACATTTACATTTTCAAAGAATAATTTTGGTTCCTGGGTTGCAGTGTGGAGGACTGCAGTGTGAGGATAGTGGTGTGAGGACTATAGTCTGAGGACTGTAGCTTAAGGACTGTGGTATGAGGACTGTAGTGTGAGGACTGCAATTGAGGACTACAATGTGAGGACTGGTGTGGAACTGCGGTGTGAGGACTGCGGTGTGAGGACTATAGTGGGCATACTACAATGTGAGGACTGCAGTGTGAGGACTGGTGTGAGGACTGTGGTGTGTGGACTGGCATGAGGACTGTGGTGTGAGGAATGTGGTGTGAGGACTATAACGTGCGGACTGTAGCTTGAGGACTGGTGTGGAGGACTGTAGTGGGAGTCTTCACTACAGTGTGAGGACTGCAGTGTGGAGGACTGGTGTGAGAACGGTGGTGTGAAGACTGTAGTGTGAGTACTGCAATGTGGGAACTACAATATGAGGACTGCAGTGTGAGGACTATAGTATGAGGACTGTGGTGTGGAGGACTCCACTGTGGAGGACTGCAGTGTGAGGGTAGGGGAGCTGAGAGCGGCACCTGGCGCTGGCCCGAGCCCCTTGTATGCTGAAGGTGCTCCCAGCTGAGGTGAGGTGGACTTCAGGCTGAGCAGACGAGAGGGTGAGGTAGAAGCCGGGCTCAGTGTTGGACATGGGCCTCAAGACGTCTCTTGGATGCTCATGTTGGCCTGGGAAGTGGGTGTTCAGAAAAGGGGCCTGGGTGGAGGACAGCAACATGAGAGCTGACAGTCTGTGGATCATATTTAAAGCATTGAGACCAGAGATCAGAGTAGATGACCAAGATGTGATAGAGAAGAGGAGGAGGCCAAGGACCAAAGGTTGGTACCCCCAACAGTAAGAAGTTGGGGAAAGGGACAGGGCACGATCAGCCAGTGACATTTGACAGTATGGCAGTAAGTCATCAAGGGCCTTGAGGAGGACAGTGCCCGCAGAGCGGTGTGGCACAACTCTACCAAAATGGGAGTAAGTGAAAATGGGAGAAGAATTGGAGATGCCAAGTATAGAGACCTCTTCGGGGAATTGCTTGCAAAGAGAGTGAGAATATGGCTCCACATGGCTCCACAGCTGGTAGGAGAAGAAGGTCAGAAGTTTTCTTAAGATGAGGTGAGTTAGAGCATGGTCTCTCTCCTGGTAAGTATGATCCAGTAGCAAATAAATAAGTAAATAAATATTTAGGAGAATTTGAATTTTGAGATTCAATTTACTATGATATGAAATTGTTTTGTCTTTAACTTGAAATACATCAAATTGGTAGTTTTTTCCTAAGCTTCTACTAAGTTCCATTTTATGTTTACTTCTTTACAGGATACCTTATAAATATTTGGAGAAAGCAAATTATCTTTTTTTTCTTTTCTTTCTTTCTTTTTTTTTTCTTTTTTCTTTTTTTTTTTACTTTAGCCAGTGCAGTAATGAGGTAGTAAGTTATTACTGTTTCCTATAGAGTTTAGTAACCATGAAGGAATTTGGGGTGATTTTTATGTGTACATGGCTGATCTTTTTTTCCTCAGGTATTTGGTCATGGAATTAATGGATGCTAACTTATGCCAGGTTATTCATATGGAGTTGGACCATGAAAGAATGTCCTACCTTCTCTACCAGATGCTCTGTGGTATTAAACATCTGCATTCGGCTGGTATCATTCATAGAGTAAGTAGTGATGCCATGTCAGTTTGGTTTTTAAAATCATGATCATTTTGTTACCATAATTCTCCAGGTACAAAAGAAGTTAATATTTTTTTAAAAAATTTTAAGAGAGAGAGAGACAGAGCGCAAGTGGGGTAGGGGCAGAGAGAGGGAAACACAGAATCTGAAGCAGGCTTCAGGCTCTGAGCTCCCAGCACAGAGCCCTTCACAGGGCTCGATCCCACTAATTGTGAGATCACGACCTGAGCTGAAGTTGGATGTTTACCCGACTGAGCCACCCAGGTACCCCAATTTTTAAAAAATTTGTCAGTGTTGAAAATCCAAAGAAACCATGGGATTGTGTAGAGTTTCCAAATATTGTTGAGAGTAGAAGACATTTTCGTGAAGTGCCTGGTTTGCTCAAGCCTGCCTGAGTCACCTTGGATGCAGGCTTGGCTGCTCCATTTGATGCTGGGAAAAAAAAAAATTAACATTTAATTTTGAAGTAACTTAAAAATTACAAGAACAGGACAGAAAACTCCCAAAATTATCCCAAACTATTTACCCAGACTCATCTATTCTTAATATATTCACCATATTTGAAATTGTATTTTTAATGAGCCAGGAACTTAGGTTTGGAGTTGGGAAAGGTTAGAGGCTAAGTAGTAAATGATACTGTTGCTTGAGAAATCTTACATAAATTATAGGCCAAATATCCATTTCTTATGTTGTAAAATTTTGCCACTCTGTCACCTCAGCCCCACTGTTGGGAACTTTGGGAATGGCCTTGGGTGTGCCTCTTGACACACCCAAGTCCCCTGGGATTTGAATGACAGCTGCCTGTACTATCAGAAAGTAACATTTAAAAACCGGTGAGATACAGTGTAATTTTCTAAGCTGGTTTTAGGGGCTCTTGGTTATTTTTTGCCTTGTAGCACTGTGTAAACAGAATATCATGACAGAATTTTCTTTTAACAACTAAAATGTTGAGTGAGGCTACAGGCAGAGATCATATCATTTTGTTGGAAACGTTCTTAGCATTCCCTAAATTATTACTATACTAATTCTGTTGACAGACTGTCGGTAGATATTCTGTTCCAACATCAAGAAGTTGTAATTTCTCTGAACGAAAATCTGTGTGGGGAGAAAGATAGTGAGACAGGAACAATGAGGCCTATTCACACAGAAAAGAATAGAGAGATTTTCAATGGTGCAGAGTAGATCAGTTAGGTGCCAGGAAATGTTGGCTGCAGTTGCACAGCCCACCCACCCGGAGAGGACCAAGCCACCCTCCCCTGTCCTGAGCCTCAGGTCTGTGACCCCAAAGCCAGCAAGCCAGCAGCACACCTGGTCCTCCCTGGGCCTGTGTGGCGCGTCACACACTGAGAAGTCCTGGCTGCGTGCTGTTGCTTAAAATATGGCCTTTGCTGCCACCAAGTGTTCAGTTAAACTAATACACATTTGGTTTAAAAATAGCATTTTTCCTCTTTTTTAAGTTTTTACTTAAACTCCGGTTAGTTGACATGTAATGTAATATGAGCTTCAGGTATACAACATAATGATTCAGCACTTCCGTACATCCCCCGTGCCCATTACAACGTATGCCCTCCTTACTCCCCATCAACCTATGTAACCCAACCCCCCTCGCCTCCCCTCTGGTGACCCTAGTTTGTTCTCTAGAGTTAAGAGTCTGCTTCTTTGCTTACTTCTCTCTCCGTTTTTTCCCCTTTGCTTGTTTTTTTGTTTGTTTATTTTTGTTTCTTAAATTCCACATATGGGTAAAATCATATGGCGTTTGTCTTTGACTGCCTTCTTTCACTTAGCATAATAAGTAATACTAATTTTTTTTAATTAAAAATAAAGATTTCACAACATACCATTATATTTATCTTCCTAAAATTTTCATAAGCCTTTATATAAATTAAGACACTCATGAACACATTTTGTGTTAAATTCACCCTTCATTTAAAAAAAATTTTTTTTAATGTTTTATTTATTTTTGAGAGAGAGACAGCATGAGCAGGGGAGGATCAGAGAGAGAGAGAGAGAACACACACAGAATCCAAAGCAGGCTCCAGGCTCTGAGCTGTCAGCCCAGAGCCCAACATGGGGCTTGAACCCACAAACCGTGAGATCATGACCTGAGCTAAAGTTGGGCACTTAACCAACTGAGCCACCCAGGCACCCCTAAATTCACCCTTTAGAATAAATGTCCGGCCTTATTATTACTAGGCCTCATTATGTTCAGCCTTATCAGTTTTGTAAAGGGAAACAACTTGCCTCACTTGTTTCTCCCTTCCTGGACCAGGAGATTCATGGGGAAGCAATACCCTCCCATGCCTGGGGACCTTTCCAGGGCTGAGGCACACTCACGCCCATGTTACAGAATGTTGGGTACCTGAAGGTTGGTCCCGCCCCTGCTGACCACAGTGTCAAGGAGAGTCCAAAGAAGTGTCTGCCTTGCCCAGCACAATGTTTAGAAACCTGAGAACACCTGAGCAAATGATTCCATGGACCACTGCTCCACCCTGCCCACCACCCCACGGGCCTTGCCACTCCTGTCTTATATCTGTTCACACATTTGTGCGCCTGCCAGGCTTTGTGTTTCCTCGTGAAAAGTACTGCATGTCCGTGTGGGAAAGAGAGAGAAAGCAAAGAGCGAGAGCCCCCTGTTGGGACCCCCTCCAGGACCCAAGAGGTGAACTGCAAGAGCCCTTTAGTGGGTTACCGGTTGTCCATGAGCCTCTCCAGTCCTTTCTTCTATACACGGACCCATACACAAGATACACACTTCCGGTTTGGCTTATTAAAGTGTTTTCATACTACACATAAAACTTAATTATTTGAAAAATAAAACACCCACGATCCCACCACTTTTTAGAATCACTTCTAAGATTCAAAACTTAGAAGAGGTAGAAGGTCCCCAGCTCTCTGTTGCTGCCTAGAGGTGGCCAGTGATGGCAGTTAAGTGTGCTTCCTTCCTAACTTTACAGTGACACCCCCTTCTTCTTTATGCTGATGGCAACACATCCGCATGGACTTATGTCCTTTTGACTTTATATTTTTTAGACAGGAGATCATCTTGAATGTAATTGTTCTACAACTTGCTGAGCAAGTTGGTTGATTTGTTCTTTATTTTAATTAAGGATTAAATAGTTCTACAAATATTTATTTAAAAAAAAGAGTCCCCACCCCCTCCTTGTCACTTCTCACTCCTCAGAAGCAAACCCTGTTCTCTTAGCAGTCATGTTGGTGTTTCTCTCTGTATCTTGAAATAATAGTAGATCTCTGTGCATTGGCCTCTTTTCAGTTGGGGACATAAGGTACCGATTTCGCTCCGTTTTGCCCACCCATACCCGCCCCCTGACACCTTTCCTGCTCTTCCAGGTATTTACAGTGTCGTCAGATTTGGGCCGGTATTGATAATGGATTTTACATCATGGTGACCCCCTCCATGCTCTCTGCTGCACAGCCTCCTATTTATACCATGATCGTATTCAACGTTTTGTCCCTGGAATTAGCAGCATTTGTCTTTTGTTTACATTTCAGTTTTCGTTGTTTTGTTTTTCAAGGAGGGGGTGGTTTCTGTTGCCTGCTCACTACGTTAAAGCTAAGCCTTCTGTGGGGCACCTAGGTTCTCCCTGTTCAGCCAGGTGAAGCTCTGTGGCGTCGCCTGCGAGATCTCGCTCTTGGAGCCTCAGCGCTGCTCCCAGCTGGGCGGCTGCCCCCAGACCTGATGCAGAGGGACTGTCCAGGCCCCGGCCCCAGCATTTTCCTGGCGGTCCCCTTCACCTTTTCCTGGTGTTGGACCCCCTGCTTCCGGACCCCTGCCCCATCTTTCTTGGATTACTCCCTTGTTTCGGTGGAACACATCCCCCAGTAGCTTCCCCAGAAGTGGTGCATGTGAGATAAGTTTTCTGAGGCCTCCGATGCCTGAAACTCTTTACTCTGCCCTGTCACATGCGTCAGAGTTGGGTGGACATAGAACTCTTTGTTACACATCAGTTGCACTCCAGGTTGTAAATGCAGCACCCCGTTTATAGTGTGGTGGGGTTTGGCTTTTGAGCTTTCCAATACCATTCTTCTTGCATTCTACTTCTATTCTTCTATTTCTAATACCATTCTTACTTCTTTTGCAAGTACCCTGTTGGGTTTTATCTCTGGAGTCTTCTAAAACTGTTCCTTTATTTCTTGCATTCTGAAATGTTACGATAATATGCCTTGATGTGGAAAATTTTTAATTGTGGTGGGCACTTGGTGGCCCCTTCAGTCTGGAAGGCCATGCCATAGAGCTGGGAGAAATGGGGTTGGGCTGGGTTCTCACAAGGCGGGGTGCAGACCTCCATCACAGAGCCCTGTCTTCAGGCTGCACTCCTCACCCATGCCCTCCCTGCGCCGCATACAGGCACATCTGTTGGATTATGCCTGAGGCCCAACTCTGGAAACTTGATTTCAGTTTTTCTCGATTATGGGCCAGTAGGAGTGAAGAAGGAGCCCAGGCTTCTCTTCTGGGGGAAGCTGGAGGGATCTGGGAGGCCTGCCTTTACCTTTACACAGATCTTCCCCAAAGCTCCCTTGGTGGCCATCCCTGCTGCACCCTCCCTTCTGGAGTACCTGTCGTTCACTTCCTGAGCAGCTCCTGGCCATGTGGTCTCCCGTGCCTTGCTTGGGCCACACTTGCTGAGGTTGGAACGTGCTGTACTCAGCCACGTCATTTCCTGCCTCTCTGCTGCGCTTTGTCCCCATAGAGTGTGGGTTTTCACAGACAGCACTGGCATGCCAGGATGGCCTTCGTTGGACCTGCAGGATGCGTACCGGGAGAAGGCCTGTGAGGAGGAGCTGGGGAGCGGACTGGAGCGGGTGGAGAGGCGAGCAGGAGGCAGCACGGGTCTGACCCCTCAGAGGGGTTGAGGGCAGAGCCGCAGGACAGCCCTCAGAAAGCTTCACCTGCCCTGGAGTCCATGAGCCGCCTGCCGGGAAGTCTGGTGTCTCACAGGAACGGGCTCCTGCCCCACACAGTCCCT